CAGGACTGTTGCTGATCATAATAAGCTGACGATGGATCAACGACAAAGTTTTTCGCTCCTTTTTTATAGGGCCGAGCGCAGAAAATCATTCAGCGGATGTTCTTTCGGAAATGAATTCCGCCAAGGCACAAACATATAGCCGCAATTCCTGTCCAATCAAATCATTACATACCGATGTTCCCCGAGATTAAAAAGGAATGTTTCCTACCCGCCGTTTCTGCTTAGCCAGTTTGCGGAAAAAACTAGCTCCGGGTAGATTGAGTCATCGATTCTTTACCCTACTTTACTTAAAGTAAAGTATGACGGAAGAAACATAATCCCACGTCAAGAGTACATTATAATGATTTAGTCTGTATGACGGTCAGTTTTTGTGTACCCTTTTAAAAGGCGGGTACAAATGGACCTGATTTCTATACCAACACACGGTCAAATGGTATGTTTTATCCGTATTTCCCCGCCTACTATGACAGCTATCAGTACCTGGTTCACCTAATAATTAATAAAATTATGTTCGATGTGGGACAAAACAATCTCAAGTACATCAACGACGAAAAGCCGCTATGACCCTTGTAAACGAGCAAAACGTTTAATTGGTCCTTGAACTTTTAAATATGCACTGAGTAGCGGGAGAGTCTGGAAGTCCAATATGCTATAATTGGCATGATCTTGCGCATGACTGTGCCATAATAAGCCGAGTTATCAATGTTTCGATCGACATAGTGTCCAAAAGGTTTTCAAGAATGAAATCCCCTTTCCGCCGTCCAGCCTTCAGCAAGCAAGCAGCTATAACCACAATCAACACCTTTCTAACCGATCCAATAACGGCTCGACAAGTGAACATAAATATTTGTAGGCTAAGCAGTACCACGGAACCGAAAATCCACTCTTTGTCTTTGCAGAACATGGTAACGCAAAACGTTTCAAAGGTGTTTGCAAGTACATGCGCAGACAATTTATGACTCCTTTCAAAAGGATATTATTAACCAAGTATTATCATTTGTTTATGGTCAGAAGAATTGACACAATCTAATTACTACGGGCAACAGCCTCTAGATTTAGAACAAAAAATTTTGCTATGCATGGCGTGCTGAACACTGAGTATTGTCCAAAACCCTTTTTTAGTGGTTTATATACGAAATATTGTTGTACTGATTTCTGTAACAGACATGTATAAAGGAGGCAGCTCTGACGACCAAGAAGGCGAATTTAGTTCGGAGGACGGCCATTTCAACATGGTATATAGCATCATTAAATGCACGGCGATATATGAAATAATGATAAATATTCCCGTGTGCATGCTGTAAAATAAATAAAAGAGCAAAATAAGAAGTTATACCACACTGCAATCCGTTTTAGGCCTCGTTGAAGTCCAACATGAGCAATTTTATTGGTTGGCTAACCCCCAGAATGGGAAGACTTTGAGGCAAAAAAACAGATCACGTGCTTCCTGTGCGTGTCCGAAGTAAATCCCTTCTCCCTGTGCCCGTCCCACAGAGAAACGTATCCTGAGACTTCCTGTATATAATGGACTCTGATTCGGCGCGCCAATACCCATTGCCAATTTTGGTGTCAGAAGAAACGGCTACACATTACAGACAATTTCGAAATTCATCGAGTATAGCATCCCCATTGGAAAGCATCCCCGAATCACATGATCTTTTGCGCATCCAAGCCGATTTAGAAAATTTACTACCGTTGTCCGAAGTACGACTTCGTCATTTACGTAAAGACTTGAATCATCTGGAAAAAAATGTCAATGTCTGCGATGCTGGTTGGTTCACGTGGTGACTCTGAAGTACCCAATTTTTGATTATAATATAGGTTCTGAATCAAAATCAGCTGGGAAGAATGTGAATGTTATGTATGAGAAGCTGAAAATGAAACAAGGAGAAGCAAATGGAGAAGATTCGTTATTAGGTAAGGAAACAAACGAAGAGGGGAGGAATCATAGCGATAATGCTAAACGCTGCGTTGCGTATCCTCAATTAGATGAATCTACTGAAACTTTGACGCCACCGAATAAAGTGCAAGCGTAAGTACGGGCCCTGATGAACAAGTGCTTGACGGAACTGGATATGTAGTGCACTGGAAACGCTGAGACGTCGGCATCGCCGTGAGGATCCGGGTAAACTACCGGAAGGTCGAGGTAAGTTGCTGTGTTGTGCATGAATTTTTCCCGGAACATAATGATTCATTCGTGAAACGAAATAGCATCGATTCGGAGCGAATCATCACAGTCAAAATGGAAAAAATTGAATCATGGTCATACACAGGGTTCACAAAGTATGTCTCCTCCTGCAACCGCATCTCATTCAGCAAAACCAGCCAAGGTAAAGTAGGAAGACTTTGTGGGTGTTTGTTGTAACCAATATGTCGCAGACGATGTATATGAAAAAGAAAAAGTCAGATGTGGGGTCCAAAACGGTGACATCCCATGGCGCCGCACGGGCCCACCAGCAGCAACCGAACGGGAAAGCGGAGGAGGATGTTGGTATTGTGCGCGTGAAACCGAAGGACCAGGTGGCTGTCACCACATTTTGGTCGGCGGTAGATCCTTGCTTCCGGCCACTGACGGAGGAAGATCGAAATTTTTTGCTTGAAAAGGTATGCAGGCCATTGCAAACGCCTTTTCAACTGTTCTGATGCGCACGCGCTAGGGTGATAGTGTCAACCCTTTCCTGATACCACCGCTGGGCCGACATTATCTGGACGTGTGGGCAGATGAAGAACGTCATCTTCCAGCCTTGAGTAGGCCTCATTCGCCTGCAGAAGCATCATCCACAACAAGCTCTCGGCAAAGTTCACATGATCATCTGGCAAATAGCGATGGCCAAGAGCGGTTAAAATATCTTGGGCCCCAGTACTTGACAGATGACCATCTGTACACAGAAGACCTAAGTTGTGGAAGTTTAACAGAGCGCTTACTGAGTTGTCTTGTGCGGGAAGATGTGATGGACATCGCAGAGTTTACAGACGGAGAAGATCCAGTAGAAGTAAAGTCGGAGTTAGACAATCTCGAAGGCAAAACAATTATGGAAATGTCGTTTGACCCGCCAGATGAGGTCGTTGAATTTGAAGAGCGGCTCAAACGAGAGCTGCGGTACGCTGGATTGCTCGGCGACGACGATGTAAGACAGTTGTACCTATTTTTTTTTCATGGTTTGATGGCTAAGAATTTAATCGCAGATTGACTGGAATGCCAGAGAGGACGATGAGATTTGTGCCGAGCTGCGCAAGACAGCAAGGCTACTGAAAGATCAAATGAAAACCAACGAATTTCGAAAGAAGCGATTACTAGACGTGGTGGACCGCCAGCTGCAATACCAGGAATACAGACACATGTTGGATATATTGGATACTCAAGTCGAGCAATGTTATATCAAACGTTTTGTAAGTGATATCATTTTGCCACAACTAGTGCCTGCACCTATACGATTTTGCTCATAAGCCTATCAGCGAAACCAGAAGGCCAAGAAACGAAAAACAACGGCAGGTCCAAGATCGACACTGTCAGAAAACGCCGTATCAGCAATGGTCAAGCGCAAGACATGGGTCGATGCGCTTGGAGGAATATTTGAGGATAAAGACCTCAGTATGCCAGCTACATCTATTTATGAAGACCCAACACCATCTACCTGTAATTTATTGCCCTCTGCCCTTTCGAGTCAGAATTTTTCTTGACGCCATCCCCCCGCCATCACCACCTTCCAGTTTAATTACGATGAAAGAAACCATCAGATCGGAAAGACTGTTCAGTAGCAACTAAAAACACCCACCAAAGTGGGAGTTGCTTCATATTCGCCTTAAGCGCTCATCATTTGGTTGACGTGTGAGATGACGCTCCCACCCATCTGCTTCAGATTGAAAACTACATTTCGGGCTTACACGGAAATTATTCAAGCCACAAAGCTTTGTCGTCCCTAGCGAGCAGGGCGATCTCACTCCATCGATTTTTTCGCCGTAAGCTGGAGAAGAAGAGCGGGCTACTCACTACATTCTCAGATGTCTGTTCCAAATGTCCTTCAAAACGGTAAATTAGGCATTTTCCTCAACTAGTTGTGTTTCATTGAATTTTTCTTCAACGAATCATAGTGATGTAAAAAATCCAACTTTTCTTCTCCGTTGCGTAAAGAAAAAAAGAAAGAAAAATACGCTTGCCAGGTTTTTTCATGTGAATTTGCGCCGCTTGAATAGAATTTTCGCGTTGGCCAATAGACTGAGTTTGCTCTATCTCGATAGTACTGCCCCTGGCAGAATGTGTCGTGCACCTAGGGTAAAAGCGAGCAACTCAGCTCAACTATATGTACCTTAAAAACCTTTCATTTAGTCATTTCAATGCTCTTGCTATAGTCGGAAAACTAGAATTTTGGGAGTAATTTTCCGAGGTTCAGCCACCTCTCTTTCTTTTTGATTTTTTTTTGTGTTTATCTCCACATCGACTAGCTCTGCCCTGTGCCATTATGCGTCATGTCAAAAATAATGGGTGAGATGTTATGATTAGCAGATATTGTGCTAGGTATATATTACTATTTATTCGCAACACAAAACTAAGGTATTTATACTACTAGGCTATTCGATAAAAAACACTATGCCTATAAAATAAAAGAATAAAATAAAGAGAGCGCTTCAAGAAAAACAGATGCATTTATATAAACTAAAATAAATAGAACACATCGTTATCATCTCAACGATAGAGAGAAGAGGAAGGGAAAATTAATGGATAAGATAAAGGGGTGGAGATAGCAAGTAAGAGTTTGCGGGAGGTGAAGGGTCAGAGCATGAATACTGATAAAGCGGAAGAGTCTAAAATAGGAGGGAGGTTAGAGGTCTGCTGAGGGTTGGCTGTTCGGCGATCCGGCAGTCCGGTGTGTAGTCGAACTAGCCCGTGATTCTGGTGACCGTCTAAATGATCACCCGCTGCCTTGGCCGCTTCTAATTGGCTGGCTCCTCATGTGTCAGCTATGGCTGTTCTAATTATTTGGATTCTGAGAAAACAACTAGCTCTTGTGGCGCAATTGGCTAGCGCGTCTGACTGTTAATCAGGAGGTTGGTGGTTCAAGCCCACCCAGGAGCGCTTATTTTTTTAAAAAAATGTAGCGTTGGTTCAATTTTTTGCCCAATCAAAATGAAGGTTTGCTTGGTGCTTTTTGATTCCAACATTAAAAACATTCTACGGATAGAACGGTAGAGAAAACAATACCTTTTTATTTCCTCAAAAATAAAAACTAGCCTCGCTAGATGGCTGTTTCTCTTTTTATATACTGCCAGGTATTACAGCTGGTGCACATACTATGGTTACATTCACCATATCGTTGTTAATTTCTGTGACGCCTAAAACCTGATCTCGTCAGAATAGATTGTTGTTGCTTTGTTGGTCAAGGTTTTATTCTATCTCTTTTTCTGACTTTCTGCCTCGGTATTGTTTTATTCTTGTCGATTACTGCGGGTGCGATCTTGTGGAAAATATCACTATTGAATATTTTGCATCTTTTGGCTTTCACCGATTGTTCCACTATAGTAATACGTCCATGACCACTACTGCGAATGCTTCAATTATATGCCTAAATATCGGCCCAGATATCGTCGTCTCTAATTATCGATGTTTCCAACTTTGAGAGACATCACTACCAAATCCAGTTACTGGTTGCGATTTTTACAAGTGTATCAGTTTAGCCTGATTTTGAATTTATTTTTAAAAACTGAGCAAGATACTTGGCCATTTGTTCTTTACAAAACACATTATTTGCATGCTGCCAAACAAAAGGTTCCTCGCCGTAATTAATGTGCATTTTTTGAGCTCCCGTTGTATACGGCAAAAAGGGCAAAAAATTAGACGCGAGTTGTACAATTACTATGTGAATAAATATGTTAAACGTTCCAATCTCCTAGCAATGTCTGTTGTTCTAATAATTACCTAAAAGGTGGCCATTCAATGTAATGCCTATACTGTTGGTACATTGAATAAAAACCATTCCTAAGATATCGCCGTTGTTGATTTCGAGAGCTATTGAGGGGGTGCGTGCACCAGCGGAAAATAGCACAGCACACCTATTGATATAATCATATTCCAGTTGAACATCCGTTGATGTTAAGCCTCGTATTCCTACTACGATCAAGCTACCGGAATATGCACACAGTAAAACATCAGGAACAGTTTTTATCTCAATACCTTCCTCACCTTAAATCGAGTTCTTTTTGTTGATACACCACTGATGCTTCAAAGTACAATGACGGCAACACAACTTCATCTTCATCATGTGCTTGATGGACAGGTAACACATCTTCAACATTTGAAGGGTATTCGCCAAGATCCTGTATATCAATCGGTTTCAAATTCGGTTCGTTATTTCCGCTCTCGAGCATATTTTCTGTATCCGGGGTTGTCATGCTCATCCGCCTTAAGGCGTCTGTCAGATCATCAACCTCGGGCTCATCCGTAGAAGATTCCACATTTAGCTGACTTGGTTCGTTTTCGGAAATGATATGTGGTAAGGAAGATTTGTCCTCAATTGCAGAGGAGCGCACAAGTGATGCCATTGGCATGTATCCATCCGGTAGGTATCTAAGAAGCTAATCAGCGTCTTCCACTAGTCCAATATATTTTACCTTAATTTATCCAGTGGACCACCAAATCGAAATTCGCATCCTTGACCTGTAGAAATGGACATCGCCTTGTAGTTTATGAGAATTAATCTTTTACATATCTCAAATATATACCGGGTACCACGATCGATCATTGGGAACACCTGTGAAGGCAACACCCATGTCTGTTCCGTTTTTGTAGTACTTAATCTCCCCTCGGACCAAATCTAAAGTCGACGTGATCACATCGTTTGATGTCCACTCGCTTCCGTAAGATGATCTCTGCAAAAGTAATGGTTAGCAAGCATGCTAACAGAAGTGATGTTTTCTTACCGCGATAGAATGCCTTCCATGCCACTTCTTTGCTCGATAGCCATCGTATCCATATGATTCGCCATCGTCCCCAACACCTGTGCCACCCTCTGGATCGATCTCGAAATTGTCGTTCACCCATCCTACCTGCATTAGGCCATCAGTAGCAAGCACCACCTCAAATGCATATTTGTGGTTCTCATGTTCGCCCCAACTCTCATATACGGGTGTAGAGTATGTGCTTTTAGCTGTTTCGAATGTCCAGGAATCATTACGAAATTCGCGGCTGGTTTCATAGTTTACAAGACAAAGTTTGGATCGTCTGACAAGGTCAATCTCTACAAAATCCCCAGAGTTCCTACATTCTTCCTCCGTCCTTTCAGCAATGATTCGGCTCGCGTATGTCATAATAATACGTGCGAAAAAGTGGAAGGACTGCTTCTGCAGCATAGGAAGCTGAATATCATGCCAAATAGTAACCACCAGGGCTTGCAGTGAAGTCTCCGGTACAACATAACACGGATCTGCCCCATCATGTCAAACTACGTGCCTTGCAATTTTTTTTTTTTTGACGTACCCGAGTTTACCAACACACCTAAGCAAGCCAAAACATAATCCGACACAGATCGGTTGTTTTGTAATAAATGTATCATCACTTCTACAAAGTTCATTTTTTGAACTAAAAAGTCACGTACAGGTTCTACACACAGTACATTAGTCTATTTACTAGTGGCAAACGAAAAGGGTACTAACCATAGCGAACCAATGACCGCAATACCATTAGCGCCCGCGTAGCAAATCCGGAATACATTTTGGTTAAGTGAGATGACTGGCCTTCCGAAGCTGCGTCATCCACCGGCGAATCTTCCCCTCCTCTACGAGTCTCTCCTAACCGTTCTGCTGCAGATTCCACCTTTCTCAATATGCGATATTTTTCTCGTTGCTCATTTAGCTCGTTATCAGAGGATAAGCGGTCAAATACATGCATGGTCGACTGAGAGGTCCTTGAGGGTTTTGCGGGAAGATTTTGCACATCAATCATAGTCGATGCATGTATCCATTGTAAAAAATCGTAATACACAAGCTTGATAGCACCAGGATGCATCTGATCAAGATCTATATCTTTGCATGACGATGTCGCCCATGTGTCTAACACCGGATACAGCGCAAGGAGGAGTAGAGACTCGGCAAATTGTCGGATCGTGTCAGGTAGAGGAGATGTCGTTTTCGATCTACCGAACTTTGAACAGCATGTGCGAACCTTTATGTCGCTGAGTTTGTACGATCGCTGTTTTTCTTTGTCATACATATTTTCCCCTTCTTTATCAATCAGGCCTTCCATTTGCGCCATACTCTCCATCAGACTTTCAAAGACTGTACCAGAAATAACGTCACCTGCGATGTCGCTGTTCTCCAGTAGTATCCGCAAAGCACTCAAAGCACCCACAAATTGAACCCTGGATGAGAGAGGTAGTTCAAATTCCATAAATAGTGAAGTACGATCAACGTCGGAAGGCAACGGGTCGCATGCGATAGGTTGTTCACCGTTGGTCTGCGCATCAGGAAAGTTCGTGACCTCATTGTGGCGCAAATTGTTCATGCTTTCAATTGTTTCATCAGTAACATTATCAGTGTATCCAGCTTCAGTTGGGCTCCTGTTAAAACGAGACGAGTTATGAAGTATTTCTTCCAGGCGCATTGCGTTGGATATAGTGCCGGCTGTATTCACATTTATGTAGTCGGGAGTGAATACTCCGTCTGATTCCAGACTTGCGTTGTAGTTAACATCGCGACTGCCAGTATCTTTTGTGGTAAGAAATTCTCCTTTTTTCGCTGTGATCAATGACTGCATCATAATGATAGGGAGAATGTTATGTGACATCTCAACACAGCTATTGATAAGAGGATCGATCACTTGAAGAGTGATCCGCGTGGTTACAGGTTGATCTGTAGGAATGTGTGAGTTGAATAGCAGTTATTTGTTTGTTTGTTTGTTTACATTTGATCGCCATGACTAACGATGTCTTTGCACACGTCAATTGTACACGTTCGTGGGCTGAGTTAACGCATGTCGAAATGATCGTATCCAGACATTTATCTCGTACTTTTGCAGTAAAATCATCTACAATGTTGTTAATGAGAGCATTGTTGGTCGCATTTACCTCGCATAACCATCAAGTTAAATATTGCACCGGCGGCATTATACTGAACTTCAAGTTCATCCAATGTAATCAGACTATTCAAGGTGGATATGATCGTATCAACATGACATTCCATGGCGACATTGTTACTCGCTTATGTAAGAATTAGCACACTAGTCATATTCCGAGACAAACTCACGAATGCAACAGATGAGCGATAAGATGTCTGCGATAAAAATCGACACATGTACTTTGACCGATGTCGCTAATGACAGCAGTAGCTCGAACTCGCTCGAACATAAAATATCCTCATGTGACTCAACTATGCAGTGTTTGTCAAATGATACCATTCAGCTAACATTACCTTGCCCTGCGACAGCGTGGATACATAGGGTTGCCCAGTAACGCACATCATCGTCGTCTAACGTCAGACAGTGCATGATTCTCTTAACCATGCCTGTATGAACCATCTCTTGACGAAATGTTTCTACCATACATTCAGCTTGGGATGATTCACTGTGATTTTACCTTGTCCGTACGCCATGAACTTGACCGTCCTCAGTACAACGCGAGCAATATACATCTCATCTGCCGACAAAAGACTTGCTAATATAGTGTGGACTCCTTTGATATCCCTAAATTTGTCGGCAGCCACATCTAATAAGGTTTTAGCATACATATTACATTAATACAGCTCACCTTTAAGTACGAACTCGTGCATAAGACCAGCTGCCCAGTAGATCAGCTCAACATCATCTTTGTTATTAAAAATCGTCAGCGGATGGTTTGGTTTTCTCTGGTTACTATACCTCCACGAAGGCAAATGGATATTAACTCGACAATATGGTAATCCAACAGCTCAGTCAATATCCTCTTCGCCTCTGTAAACATATTTTTGTTACACCTGTCATTTTATATATATGTACATAAAAGAGCCGGATTTACCTATTACGTCCACACTTGCCACAATACGCACAAGACTTTGCATGCAAAATTTTGGCATGTTTGTATTTCCATAGGTCATTCGAGCCATCTTGGC